GCAGGTGATGTGATTGTCCAGTTCAGTTGTTTCTGGCAGTGGGCTAGGTGGTGATAAGTGGTGGTAAGTGGTGGGAGGTTGTCTGTCTGGGAGGCATGCAAGAGGCAAATCCCAAGACTAGGAAAGACTGGAGCCGAGCAGACCCACAGGCAAGCTGACTGAGATTTTAGCTGGAGGTGGAGGATAGCATATCAAAGGCTAGCTGAATAGGCAACAGAATGAAGGCTAGATGATGGGGAAAAGGGTAATTGGCCTACTATGTCAGCAACCAAGCGCCCTGGACTCTCAGCTGCTCTCTACATTGTCCTCTCAGTTTTCCAGTTAAAGAAGATCCTGTCTCACTACCACTTCTGCCATCGATTTAACATTTGTTTGCTGAGGTACTGAGGTATTGGGAACCTGAGATTGCAAGGAACTGGATGATGGCCTTTCCCCATCAACTAGCATCTATTCTTCCTCCCAGCCCTGGGCCTACTAGCCTCCTGCCTGCCTCCCAGCCAGTTAGCTTAGGTTGTGGAACACTCCAGCTTGCCTCAGCTTTGCTTGGGTACATCCTTCCCTAGTCTTGGGATGACCGACAGAACAGTGCAGGGGAGAAGGCGTTTGACTGAAGGGCAACTGATGATCATGATGGGCATGAGCGGCAGATTGAGGTTGCTGTAGGGGAAATTCTATGCTACTGCACAATTGAGAGGCTTGTGCACTTGTCTCCTGTGTCATCTTTGTATATCAAAACCAGTGAGCATGGACAACGGCACACAATTTAAAAACCAGTGGGTGGATGAGGTGCTGTCCGACCACTCAGTACAGCAGGTTTGGTCCGTGCCCTATGCTCACCACACCAACAGCGTAGCCGAGACAGATATCAGAGCAGCAAAAGAGTGGAGCATTAAAAATGCATCCCACTGATTGGGATGAGCCACTAAAATTAATTCTGTTCCTTAAAGAGACAAAAGCTATGCGATCCATCCGTCTCAGATCATATTCACCCTGTCTGCCTCCTTTTCCCCCAGGAGATCGAGTTTGGGTAACCAGGAGTAAAGATTATCCCGAAGCAGGAAATTTAAAGACCAAACTTGAGGGACAGGATGTGGTTCTCTTTCAGGAAGGTAACGTTGTCCATCTGGTTTCTCCTCATTGCTGAGAGGACAAGATGATCTATACCCATTTAATTCTGAGAAATTGGGATTCAGGAAGAAAGCAGGAAAAAATAAAAAGTGGGGAATGTACACATCTGTCAATGATCTGGGACCAAATTTGTCACCTCTGATTAAAATTCAGTTCTGTTTCTCTGTCAGAGTGACAACCCTGACAAAACCTGTGACCAACTGTTCCTTTTGATGAAGGCGAAAAAGACTTGTGGTGTTTCAAGCCATCCCACTCCAAATGCTGAAAGGATTGTTTATGAAACACAGCTGGTGATATAGGCAGACTACCCAGAGACAAGGAGCACACCAGTTTCTCAGAGAAAAGATTCAGGTGAGTCCCTACCATGAAATTGAGGGTTAGCGTGACCCTGGTGCGAGGAGACCAGGGACAGGTTAGAACTGTTACTGGACCATCTCCATCCTTAGTTTTATGGCAGGACCAAAAGATGAAGGGAATGATGGGTATATGCCTGGTAATTCTGATTCACCTCCTCCGTTCCACCAAGTCCTTGGAGGAACTATAAGTGGAGTGTTTAGAAATGTTAAGAATCAGGGTGAGACGGTTTTTAAGAAAATTGGAGATACTATTACGGCTCCATTCTGGTGGGTAAAATGGATTATACCTGCTCTTATTTTAATAGCTGTTAGTAATAGGTGTTTTGCACAGGCTCAGCTTATTGCCTCTTGCAAGATACATAATGGCTAAAATTCTTTAAGGAATATGTGTTTTGATTAAATATGGTTTAGTCGCTCTGTTCAAGACAACAAAGTAATGTTTAACTGCTCTGTTTAAACTCCTGCTCCTCTGTTTAAAATGAAATAAGGACAAAACTCTCCAGAGAGATATGCGAAAGAGAGGGAGGCAATGTGCAACTGAAGATGTCCTCCGTATAACAGAGTGAGAGCAACCTAAACGGCAATAGTGATCCACTGACAGGAAATATATGAGTATAATTTGACTTCTAGAGGCGAGACTGAAACCTGACCGATACAAACACTTTGCACTTGACTACTTGACTACTATACTTGAACTATGACTGTCTCCAGAAAGTACGCATTTGCTGTCATCCTAACAGATTGCCTAATTGCCATCTTTGTTTACTAGTTATGTGTAAAATAATTATGAAAAAATGATCAGGCCCAGCCAAACGAACCAGACTTTGCTTTTCACGGCTGGCATAGTAGCTTTAAGGTTGTAGAAACCCAGTGTATTCTTGATATCTGCTTTTATCTGGTACACTGAGGGTAGAGCTGGATCGCATAGAAGCAATATCCTTATGACCCCAAGCTCCCCACGGGAGAGCATACAAATGATGTGAAGACATTTTTAAGAGAAAGAACAAAAGGAGATGAGAGACCCAACAGTAGCCGGCTTGTCCTCACACCAATGACCGACCCCACAACATCAGACAAGGCAACGGTCGTCCTTGTTGCTGCGCCCTCAAACAGCCCAGCAGCCCCAGTCAAGGCAACGGACGGCTTTGTCCTGGAACTGAGGCTGTGGTTTCCCGTTCTACACCCGAAAGAAAGGGAGGCAACCTCTCGGCCCAACCTGAAACAATACACCCTCTTAACCGCCTCAAGTTCTACGACTCAGAGACAGACCTGATCACACCCAGCTCCATACAGGACCCTTTGTCCTGGTGTGAGATAACCTACGCAAAGATAGGTACAACGGGATCCTTCCCCTGGAACGTTTGCCCCATGAACAAGGAAGGTTCCTTGTACCAGTGTAGATGGGAAGCATAATGTGAAGAGTTTCTCCCTGATGACCTTGCCTGCTTGATCCCCTGCATCGATTGGATTTGCTCGAACAGACTAATGGACTTGATCACTCTAAAACAATGTATGCTTTTGCTTGAAAAGTATCCTTTTTCATTATTATTATTGCCTTCCTCCTATTCCTACGATAGGTGAGTCATGATACCCAAAGGTATGCTTTGATTTATTCTAACATGATTTACTGTTTACACTATTTTAAATTATTATAATTATATTTATCTATGCTTAGATTAGTTTGTCTGCCCCATTGCAAGAGAGGATGTTGAAGGAATAGAAATGTGTTGTTCTCATTCGCCTTCTAATAGTAAAAAATGATAGATAAAACAAAAACACTCTTATTTGTATTAATATTTATATAATTTTCATTATGCTTTTATCATTTTTATTCATTTACTTTTATGTGTCCATCAGAAAGTAGGAGGTTTAAATATTAGTATAAGGTGGTCTTGAGAATGTTGGACATATCAGTCTATATAATCATTCTTATTATTTTGGTGCCCCCTAATTTTATTGCTTGTTTATGGTTTATTCACTTATTTCATTATCATGTTATTATTCATTCATGCTCTACTCATATTTGTCTTGTTCATCTTATTATTACTAAATCCTAATCACCTATATAATCATTTAATTCTTGTTATTATTTACCCCATGTTATTCATTTATATGATTCAAGTATGTTACCTACTTATTATAAGATACGTTTTCTTTTTGTGGTTGTAACCGGCTCGGTTCAGATCAATCTAAAATGGCTGACAACTTTGGTGTAACCAGAAGACTGGCTGAAAAAATAACAGTTCCAGCCTGTGCAGGTGCTTCCTGTGCGGGGGCTTCTCTTATACAAGAGTAGAAAAAAATTCTGCAAGTTACAACAAGTTGTCTGTCCTCTTCAGAGACTCTGACAATAAGGGTACTTGGGGGTTGCATACTGGATTTAACTCTGGCACTTTTGCAGACACAGTAATTGCCCAAATTGTAAACAAGCCTTTTCGGCCTTACTGAACAAAGACAGTTCAGTCTCTTAATTTCTTTATTTTACTTTTTTTAATTTTCAGTGGCTTTCTAAAATAAAGTTGTTTTTGGAAAAATAAAAATGAAAATGTAGGAGCCCCTGTCGATCAGTTTTTTTATTCTGAAGAGGGTCCTGTAAGATCATAAGGGTATTATTAAAGTGGATGTAGGTGAGATGAGATAAATCCCTACTTTCTCCTGCAATACTGCAACTCTTGATTGAACAGTGAAGTCTTACTTTCCTTTGCAATCTGCCACTTCTCTTTGTATGTTTCTCTCCTGCAAGAATATTTGCATTAAAAGAGTAGCCTACTGTTTGAAATGACTCAACAACGAATACAATTTATTTATGAGTAGTTGTAAACCCAATGTGTAGTAATTATAGCAGAAGTACAAATCAAAGTACATCTCAGAGGGATTATTGTTACACAGTTTCCACTTGTGGGTCAAAGAGATATCAGATATATATATATATATATTATATTAATACATTATAGTGGCTAATTGAAGTTACCATCACATTAAAATTATAAAGTTACTTGAAATAAAAAAACGTATTGTAATTGTAATGGAGTATGTGTGTATTTGATATAATTGTTTGATATAATTATTTGTTGATTTTGTAAAGTAACTAGTAAAGCTTTCAAATAAAATGTGTAGTATAAAGTGACTATAAAGTAGCATAAAATGGAATTACTGCAGTACCTCAGAATTGAACTTAAGTAACGTTACAGTACTTGAGTAAATGTAGGGTAAACGTTACTGTTACTCCCCCCACCAGAGCGTCCTGTCTGTAGGCGGGGTCAGGGTTTACGTCCTGTCTGTAGGCGGGGTCAGGGTTTACGTCCTGTCTGTAGGCGGGGTCAGGGTTTACGTCCTGAAGGGTTTGCATCTTTTCGGTGTCCAGCCCTCCTTTGTCCTACGACTGTTTCCGGTTAGTGCTGGATGCTTGGTAGCTAGCTACGTTAGCTCTTCCTCGAAAAGTGAAGTAGTGCCTGTTGTGATCAGAGTGCCAAGCATCTGGGAAATATTACCCTCAAGGTGTGTGTGTGTGTACGTGAGAGTGTGTGTGTTTGTTTACCAGTCTAAAGACAAACAGTAGTAAACTTTGAGCGATGCACAGCTGTCAGCTCGGAGGAATAATCCGCATATTGGCATAGAAACCATGGAGGGACGCTAACCTTAGAGCTAGCTGCGGCTAACGTTAGCTACTCCAGGTAACATAACGTAGCTGTTAAGAGATATTGACAACGCACTGCCGGTATTTGTGGCATGTCGCTACCTTACTTATAAAGAAATAATGGGCACCAATATCAGAGAGTCAGAGTACTTGAAGCAGGTTAGCTAGTACCGGCTAACATCTGCTACATCTCAGTGCTAGCAAATGAACCACAGGAAAGCGGCAGCGAGGTGATGTGGAAGCTAGCCACCCAGCACCGACTAGACTGAGAGACACACACACACAGTGTCTTTGGTTAGTTTGCGTTGTGAAGTCTTTGAAAAGCTGTGCTAACAATACGCGAATGTCAGCTGTGTTAGGTCATTGCCTGTATTAGTAGAAGACAGATGTTGGAGCAGGTGGTTGTTATAAGCTAACCCAGCTACTGTACTGTGATTCACTGTTTCTAAACAACATCCTTGTTTTTTCAGGTTATGGCATAAAAAAAAAAAACGGAGCTACCAGCCATCCTAACGGTCTGCCCACCCAAACCTTAGAGACTAAGGTCGAGTGGATGCATCCACGGACCATGTGACACTACACCTCTTTAAATGGGATGCAGGATCGGCTGTAGAGGATATTTCATTTGCCTCCCGGAAAAACCACTTTGGACTGTTTGTTGCCTAAACTGGTGCATCAATGAACGAAGAACCTCTCGAGAGCCCAGTCTCTGGCAGAGAGCCTATGGAAGAAGATGTGGGACAAAGCACAGAGAAGAAAAGCAGCAGAGCAGAAAACACCTCTGAGGCAGCACCAGCTCAGGAGGAGCCCTTGGCACCCTCAGACAGTCTCGATACAAAGGGAAGCCCAAGCTCAGATCCAGTACAGGAGAACCCAGAGGGGGCGAAGGAGGATGATAAGGCCGCTAGTGGTGAGCCTCCCGTTGACTGGTTTGAGCCCCTTGAGGAGGATGATGATGATGCCAATAGTGTTGGTAGGAATGATCCCGAAGAAGAAAGCCTGGCAGGAGAAAGTGAAAGGAGTGAGAGCGTGGCGGGCAGCGAGATGGCCTTAAAAAAGATTTATCAGTAGGTTGAATAATGTTTTTCTCCAGTCTGTGGCAGTGTAGTAATAATGCAATATGCTGTCAAATGTGCAGAGCCTGCATACGTGTACTGTAGTGTGTTAATGAGCAACACTGTCTTTAGATTTAGGTTTGGATTGGTACGGCCATGTACATGAGCCACAGTATATTTTTATTATGGAAATATAAATAAAGTGTAATCATGTTTTAATGTGTCTGAAAAGTTATATAGTGATATTCACAGGAACTGCCAGTGAAAAATCATTGGATGCCTTTTAAATGTCAATCTGTTGAACAGAATAATAACACAACATAGTGTATGCTATATTGATGATAACAAATATTGATGTTTTCTTGCGTGGCGTCACATGCAGTCTGTTTATCCCATGTGTTCTAATCCTAACGCATAATTTCCGTCTCCTCTTTTAAATTCAGGTTTCACGTTCCCCGCCGTAAGCGATCTCATCCCGATGAAGGATGGGTTGAATGGCCATTACTCGGAGACGGTTGGAAACGCAAAGAAGTTGTTCGGCGCTCAGGTTCTAGCATTGGACAGAAAGATGTATATTACATGAGGTAAATACTGTGTTTGTGGTCAACTTTTACTACTTGTTGAATACTTTTTGTTTTTTATATTCTTGATATTAAGACTCCTCCCTTCACTGCTTCTTTTACATCTTAGGAAGCAGTGTCTTTATAGTGGTCACACAACTTGTTGTATGTTAGGGCAATATGACAGAAAAGACACATATAGCATATAGCTATCACAATAACTGGTTGTATTTACCACTAATGATACATCGATAATAATAATACAATGTAGAGCATAAATTGAACCAAAATTTGAAATATGTTCATATTGGTTTAAGCTGTGTGTGATTTTTTTTAAATAGACTGAACAATTGTTATTATTAAGACAAAGCAGTAAGCAGATAAATCAGTAATAAAGGTAATTGTCAGTTGCAGCCCTAATTAATAAAAAAAAAACTAAATTATGGTTATACAAATAGTGATATTTTTAGGGATGCACCGATTGTAAAAATTCAGAGCCGCTGCCAATGTTTCTTTGTTGATATTTATTCCATCGTTTGTGCAAAGGAGAGAAAACAAATCTACAAAGATAAGCATCTCTGGCTTGTTGCAGCTCAGTATATTCCTCTTCTCATCCAAGATGTGAGACTCGGAGCTGAACAGCCGCATACTGTCCATGCTGCTGCATGGAGCACGTCGGTATTTGTGCCTAATTTGTGCCCGTGCTGGAAAACAAAGGTGATTATTCCAACAGTATCCGCGTCGAACATAACCAACACAACACTGAAAAAAAAAATGGATGTGACACAAGAAATAAACATTGGCCACAATTACCGGTGAATGCGATCTTATTTGCCGATAGGCCAGTGTCAAGAAGGCGAATATTGGCTGGTACCGATGTTCGGCCGGTAAATCGGTGCATCCCTAGTTATTTTCTGAGTGTTTCTAGCGGTTGTCATCCAGCTCTTTGCAGTTGTTTCTTTTCTTCCTCTGCAGTCCACGAGGGGATCGATTAAGAAGCCGAGTAGAACTGGCTTCAGTGCTAGAGGGGCTTATTGACTTGTCAACCTTCGAATACAAGACAGGAAAGTTCTACGAGGGCGAAGCACAACCCATAAGGGTTCGAAACCGAGTGAAGGTATTGGCCTCTTTTAGCATCTAAAACTCAAAAGATGTAAGACGTGCATGTCTTACATGTTAGTTTTCTTCACTTTCTCATCCACCAGAGAAAGGTCCGGGAGCGTTCTTCCTCAGAGTCCAGCTGGATGGACAGAGGAGAGGGGGCTGACACTCCAGACTCCCACCACAGGCTCACCCCCAATCAGGGACCCAAAAACCTTCACTCCAACCAGACTAGTTTCTCCTCACATAATACAACAGGAACTCCAAACCAAGGCTCTCGCAATGAGACTCTACCAGCGGAAGATAAAATTAAACTTCCTCTTCCCTCATCATCCTCCAGACCCATCCCGCTCCCCTCTATAAACGGAGAAATAGGGTCAGAAGACAGCACTCTGTGAGTTCAGTATTGCTTCTTTCTTTAACCTTATTATTCATACCTTATTATTAATACTTCTGACGTAATTAACAACACACTAAGCATTCGCTTGTTTCTCTGCAGGATCTGTGCCAAATGTGGTATTTCCTTCACAGGCACATGGTATGACAAACAGAGGAAGAGGCCCTGCTGTCCCACCTGTTGGGGTATGTCAGCAATATCATAATTCTGAGGAAAAGACAGCGTTAGACATAGGAAACAATCGTGGAAAATAACTGAGGTGGGGTAAAAGTGATGACCTTACAGTTTTACTTATCCTACGATGTTTATGTCTTTTTAATTCCAGCTGCGTCAAAGACAAAAGAGCATCCGATGATTCGTTTCAGAAAGGTAAAAACGTTGTCTGACGACGAGCTGTGTGACTGAACAGCTTCATTTGAGCTACTTTAACTAGCCTAAAGTTTAGCATGTGGTCCATTGGGGACTGATCAGTATTCCCACATTATGTGAATGTTTTGATTATATGAGAGGAAGATTATGTTGTTGAACCTGACTGAACACTGAATCCTTTCTGGCACTTTTTTACATCTGGCTGTAAGAAAAGGAGAACAAGCTCACAGCAATAATATTAGAAATTCACATTGCTATACTTTTGTTACAATTATTACCTGTGAGTCTGTAACTTAACTCTCTAAAATACAACCGTTGTTAGAACTTATATGACATCAGTGAATCAATCCGTGTCAAACAGAAGTAACAGTGTGGTAGTAGTAAGCTGCCATTATGAATCTCGCTCCGGTGTGCAACATCCTCCATCGTTGTTCATTTCAGAGGCTTGTTATTGATTGCTACAGAATGTCAAATATCAGTAAGATTCATGATAAACGGTTTAGCAGGCTGCAGCAGTTTTCATTAATGTGAAAATAAATCTTTTCAAGACCACTTTTAACTTTTAAGCATGATAGTTTTTGGGGCATATCAATTGAAATTGACTCGCTCCCACCTCTGCTAATAAGACACATTTTGGAATGAAAATACTGATGAAAGTGTTAGTGCGTATTAATGAATAAATGAACCTGTTTTTTTGTTCTTGTTCTTGTCACCTGTAGTGGATTCCTTGTGGACAGTGTGTTGGATGCCACAACACGGTGAACTGTGGACAGTGTGCCAACTGTAAGCATGGACTCCAGAGCCCCGAGTCCAGGAAACGCATATGCCGAAAACGCAAGTGTATATGTCCTATTCGTAAGGTAAGCTGACGGGTACACAACAGTTAGTGTTAATTTCGATGCCGTTTGTTAATTATGTTGTCTTTGTACTCATGCTTTTGTGCCCTGTATGTTCCCTCAGGGCCCTGGAAGTGGAGGCTTCCTGCAGCAGAGGCCTTATAATGACATTCCTGAAACATTTGATGACAGTATGAGCTTCCAGGTAATAAGAGCTTGTGTAATCCTCTAGAATGTACGTTTACTTTGCTGCTGCAGGGTCCAAATTCTGTGCTCACAAGGCGTTAAGAGGGTTCACGGGTTCTTGTTGAACTCCATGTGTAGATTGCCTGCTGTAATGTCACAGTAACCATTTTTGTGGCATATAAGTTCTAACAACAACTATTTTATTTTACAGAGTGAAGTTGCAGACTCGCAGGTAACTTTTCTGTCTTTTTATACAAGAACAAATTATATGTGTATTTCTTGTACTCAGTATTAGTGCTAGAAGATTTTTTTGCCTACTCTCATTCATAATGTTTTGTTCACACAGCATCCGAGTCTCAAAAGCAGTGACACGGAGAACTTCTCAGTCAACGTGGATGTTGACGATGAAGAAGACATGTCAACTGACGATGATGATGATGTGAGTTTTTAACCCAATGATTGCATAAACCCTTTTAGGCCTGAGTAGTGACTAGTTAAAGTTGACTTCATAGTTCTGAAGTTCTCCTTCATAGAAATTAATAACCATACTGCAGTAGAAACAACTCTTCTTGGCAGGAAATAGGGACGTCACAAAACCAGAAATGTAGTTGATATCAATACCAGTACAGTTCCACGATTCTTGATAGCCAGTTCCAAAAAACAAAACAATAAATCCCATGTAGGTCAACATACACACTCCTTTTATTAAAAACATTTGAACATTACAGAAAACAACAATAGTGGCGTGTAGTCTTCAAATAATAAATAAAAGAAACGACTAGTCAACACACTCCTTCCTTCCCGCCTGCCTGTTTTACACTCTTTAGTCGATTGTTTCGTTTTCATATAGAATATCTTCCAAACAATATCAGCCTAGATGAGTCTTATTGTTTATTAACCTCACATGTTAATACTTTTCTTCGTCGTCTGTGATGTGAAAGCATCAGATTTCCACGCAGTCTGTGCGTCCTGCTCATAGCTCAGTAATAAAATCCCAGTGCAACACAAAGCGTCTTCCGGGCCGGCAGGCTGGAGTCACGCTGTCCTCTGTTACTGTCACAGTTATTGTTTTGTTGTCTGTGGTCATTCAAAGACTCGGTTTGTATTGATATCAACAGTCATCATAACGGATGAGTCCTCTTTCTCTTCCTGCGCGCTCTGCCAGAGCGACCCCTCGCCTAAACCAGAGTATTTCCAATGCGACAACCCGTCTGACTGGTTGTTTGGATTTCATGCGTGACAGAACAGTTGAACTTTTTTTCTTTTTGGCAAGTCGCTGCAGCTGTACTGATGCAGCTGTATTCATGTGAGGAAGGTTACAGTCTCCTCCTTCACTGTAAAGTCCATTCTCAGTGTTTGTGCACTGGTGGCTTCAATTTTCTACATCACACTGTACAAGTTGCATACTGGACCTCAAACTGGACCTAAGAAAATGTAAACATTCAATTTAAAAACAAAAATAATAATTTTACAACTAAAATGTTCCATACAATATGAGCCTTGTTCAACTATTGCATGGTTGAAAAACATATTTTTGGAGTTCTTTCTTTTGTATTATATACTTAGACTTTAGAAGGTTTTATTTATAATTAAGCAGACAACATTTTACTAAGATTTAATGGCCCATCCTCCTCCTGGATAGTTGACAAAATGATGTTATGTTAATGCATTTTTATGTGTGCTAATTTTTTTACTATTCTTGTTTTCAGTGGCATAAGAAGCGGAAGCGGCGATCCTGTGGAGAATGTAAAGCCTGTCTCTGCAGGAAAGACTGCGGCACATGTGATTTCTGTATAGACAAACCCAAATTTGGAGGCAGCAACAAGAAGAGGCAGAAGTGTCGACTACGCCAGTGCCAGCGACAGGCAATGGTAGAACCATACCAACTTCCAATTCATTTGTTGTTTCACGCAATAATGATTTAATAGTGTTTGTTTTAAATATGTCTCTGCTTACATTTGGCAGAGACACTTGCTGCCTTTCCAGATGGGACAAGGTGAATTTGGGCCAGATGGCCCTGCACTACCAGGCAGACCTAGACCTCACTACACATACAGTCGAAAGTCTAATTTCAAGAAAGGCAAAGCTCTGCAGTTTGGCTTGGACTTCACAGACAATGAAGATGATGACAGTAACCTACAAGCAGTGAGTTTCCGATGCCTTTGGTGTTCAAGTCTTTATTTTTTTTGCTTAGCGCTTGTCTCATCAAACAGAATATCAATATGATTTTGTCTTCCAGCAGTTTAATCATTTTGATTTCGGACAGCGGAACGGACTACCTGACAGAGTCCCTCATATCAGCAACCACAACAGCTCTGAACTGGTAATTTTACATTCTTCCTTCTTAATAAAGTTACATTTTTTCTCCATCAAACCAAAAATGTGTTGAATTTTGTGGTTGAGTAGTTAAGAGTTCAAGAGCCTTGAGATGTCCCACAGCTCTTTTGTTGATAGTTGCACTTTGCTGGCTGACAGTGTATGAATTCTTGCTGCCCTATGCTTAATAGCACGAAACCTGACTGGTCATGTGTCATAATGGCCTCCTGTTTACACGTTCCTTCAGTAACGCTTCTGGCGCTGAGTCCATTTCCTTTTGTGTATCTGTTGCCATGCTGTTCTTTGGCCTGTGGCTCAGTGTGATGAATCCAGGCCTTCTTCCAGCTCTGTTTGACCAGGTTTTTTACCAGTCCGTGGTAATACAATCTGTACCTCTCTGGGCACTCCACTCGGAGCGTTGGAATCTTTTTGCAACGAGTGCACTTGTGTCAGTTTGTGTTGTCGTCTCTCAAGTTGGGATCTTCTCCCACTGTCCTATGCTCTCTAGTGGGTATTTCCATGTGATAGTACATAAGTGAATATTCGAGAGGCATTTTTGACTTAATCGCACACTCTGACAGAGTAGATATAGAAAGAGAGGGGCATATTACATGCGACAAAATTGAACGGGGGATGTTGCAATTAAATGGTACACGTCTTAACCACTTGGCACCAGACCACCCACAAAAGTTAATTTGATCTCTTGTTAAAGCACGCATATCACTGCCAAGTTGTTTGTGCTCCCTCTCCTCATCACCCCTCTCTTCTTGGCTGTCCTTCAGTTTGTTCTTGTGGTCACTTGTTTTGCCAGTTACTTGATTAGACAGAAATATCAGATGCTACCCATCATCAGTGCTGCAGCTTTCAGTGCTTTTCGAGCCCATGTAAACAAGGAGTAGGAAAATGGCATATGCAGTTCTGGAGAAATCCATTACAGTGACAAATAGCATGATTAGTGTGAACAACAGCACGTAATGTGAATGCAAGTAATGTAACTAATGTCAGCTAGGTTGTGGGCTTGCAAACTGTCGCTAAAGTAAGCTAAAGAATGTACGTGGGCATGTAATGTAACGTTGCCTGATACACACATCCTGGGTGGAATAACAAGTTAGCGTTGTTTGGTTGAGTCGTGATCCACTTTGTTTGTTTCCCATTTACAGAGCCAGGGCTGTGTACAAACACCAGATTTTTTTTCAGTGCACACACACACAGCGCAAAGCTAGCGGACCGTGAGGAGATATTTGCTGAATTTGAAAAAAGTGTAATGGATTTGAATCGCATTACCCAGAGTCGCTTATCTCACCTTTAAGTAGTAAGGTGTGTGTGTGTGTGTGAGCAGTGTTTGCTTATACAGCTTGAATTTGCAATATCTAATCCTCCGGTGTGTCAGTGAGGTTTGAGGGGTTGAGTGATGGTAAATTGACTGCTTACATAGCGCCTTTCTAGTCTTCCGACTGCACAAAGTGCTTTACGTTACACATTCACCCATTCACACACTGATGCCAAAGACCATCACAAACAAAAACTAATGCAGAAAAAGAAACTAATTCATTCACATAACACTAATGAGGCAGAAATATAGAGATTGCTTGTTTACCAGAGAATTTTTGTAAATCATCTTGATCTTCCCTACTCTTCTGTCACCTCAATGGCTGCTAAGATGTTAAGCTTTATAAATAGACAGAGGCTGCTGTTGAGTTGTATAGGTTGGCCAGGTAAGCAGCCTACTCTATAAAGAAGCTAACATTATCAACATTAACACTTTTTTTCAGCTTCAGCTCATCACAGATTTGTAAACTTTTGCCATTACACTAATTTGACCCTTGTCAGGGTAGCGGTTTGTCACTTGAGGATTGAAACAGATAGTTGGAAATATGACAGACACTCAACATACACTCACTAGCCAGTTTATTAGGTACACCTAACCAAAGCTAATGGAGTCATGCAAGAAATTGAATGTTTAAGAAGGTTATAATGTCAAGTTTGAATTTGAACTGTTTTAGAGAAGTGTTGGTTCAACTTTATGGTCATTTTGAAGGCTGTAGTTTCTAGTGTTGTGGAATAGTATCTTACATACTGAGAGCTGTCTTCAATTTTATGTCCACCCCATTTATATTACAGGTCCAATGTGTTAGATTTAATGGCTTCTAGCAGTGTAGTTGCAGATTACAACTCCCCTCACCATCCTGTTCCAAGTGTGTAGGAGAAACTATGGTGGGTGCGAAAATCTCCAAAATCCCTATCCAGAGCCAGAGGTTTGGATTGTCTGTTCTGGGCAAAGTCAGATTATACTCAGTGGAGGTGTGGATACTTTTCAAACTGAGTGACATAGAGGTGTATATCTATGCCATGATTTGTTATGATCCATAATCTAGTACAAACAATAGACACATTTGTAACAATCCCACACTCAGCTTTAAACTCAAAGTTTAAAGCTGATTTGATGTGACTGACAATCAATTCCAGTTCAGCTTTGGTTTGACATGATTTGAATTGAGTTTCGATTGTACTTGAATTACAGATTGAGTTTACACTGTCAGTAGTTGTAGTTTATAGTTGAGCTTATGAGTTCACCCTCATCAATCCAGGACCAGCTAAGCAGATGGGATGCAAAGAGATCACTCGCAGGCAGAGATGGTCAACGGCATGTTGATGAAGACGACGAAGAGGAAGACGAGTTGCCCATGGTAAGTGTCCTGCTGAGAATTTTCTTATTAGCTGTCCGAGCAGCCACAGATAATGCAAACCCATTCGTGTATTTATTTTCTGTCTGTTGCTCTCTGCAGATCACACAGATCTTCAGTTTGGCTGATAACTCTGCTGGGAGCGGTGTGGACATTGAAAACCAGCTAATGAAGCTGTTACAGTCTTTGCGCTCCTCTGTACTGCCAATCCTATGGTACGCCATAATGGTGGAGGGCCCGCAGCTGCAGCTCATCCAGTGTTCTAAACAGTCCAACATGACCGACACCACGGTGCTAATCGACCCGGGCTTCTGCTATCAGGTCACCGTCCAAAAGCAGCCGCTGCTCCCCACCCACCCACTGTATGACAAGCACCCAGGGCGATTAAGCTCGGTGACTGAAGTGGTCGATCTGCTTTTGGGCCTGGAGAAGTACATGGTGTGCCAGGGACTGCCCCCTAAAGAGCCATTGTGTAATAAAGACCCACTCATGCTGGAGCGGGCGTCAACGTGTGATTTCTTGGTTAAGAGGAAAGTGAGCATCTGTACTAACTGCAGAGCGCTGCAAGGACTTTAACATTAGTAGAGACAGAAGGTGATCTGTGACCACAGTGGAGATTTGTTCTCTGGTGCATCTTTGTGCCATTTTGTTCTTTTTGTTTTTATTTTGGTGATACTACATGATTTACCTCTGGACTGTAATAGTATGATTTGTTTTTTTGAAGACTCACCAAAGGCATTCCAGGAGCTGTGACGTTATAATCCAGGCAAATTTCTTCTCAGATGTCTTCTGTTATTTTGGTTTAGGGCTCTTCTTCACGACTGTTATGTCAGAGTTTGGAAAGTGTGATGGGTAGAGCTGTTTGTGGATTCACACTCTTACTTGAGGAATCTGTAACCCCAACCCCCTCATCGTTATTGCACTTTTGAGTGGTCGTTCTTTTTCTCTCAGCCCAAAAATGAAAGTGAAATTACGAGCTGTTCACCCTCTTCTTCTTCTAACCAGCACTATTGTAGCCCATGTTATGGTTTTTTGGACAAAATGAACATGTCCATGTCCATCAATAATAATACCAACTGACATTATTGTGTATGACAGTATGTGCAGTGGAAAAAGAGACTGAAATATACTAGCCTCTGATTTCATTGGATTGATTACAGTGTTTATGAAAAATGTATTCAACCCCTGTTGATTTTGCTTTTTGAGTTGAATCCCAGTGGATGAAAAAAGGAGGAAAAGAAACCTCTACAAAATGACCAACATAAGCACAAATATAACAGTTGAGTGAGTGCCTGTAATTATTCCCTTCCTATGACACACCTAAATCATTAGTTTTAAAAGTCCCAAAGTGTCAACTGCGTTACCTGAAAGCACCAGTTGAGAGGGAGGGAGAAAGTTACTAGAACATCTCCGGGACACTGAATATCCAATGGAGCCTAAAGGTCAAACGTGATGACCTACGTGGCTCCATGGCTGAGTTGGGAGACGGCATTCAGACAACAACTGTTGCTTCAACAGTTGCAGCTTTATGTCGGAGAGGCATAGAGACATCTGATTGCCAGTAGACTTGTGGGAGACTGAAACCGAGTTAATGAAGGTTCTGTTGTCAGGTGGGCTTAAAAACAGCACTGCTATTGTCTTGGAGTCCAGACATCAGATCTCTTTGACATTCATTGCAAGAGTAAGTACCTCTTAAAAGAAAGTGCTAGTGTTAATATTGGCTCGACGGTTGTTTGTATATTTGAAATAATTTAGATCAAATTGATATGAGTCCTTTCTCAGATTATTTATCCTCATTACATCCACTTTGGCCCAGTGTTTAAAAAGGCATATAAATGGGTGGGACACTTTTTAAGAGCACTGTAATCACAATGCATTAAAGCTATTATGTTTCCACATTTTAAAACAAATAAGTAAGGGCAGAACAAACAGCTGGAAACCCGAGGAAGAGATCAGGATCGTTCCCACATTCATCATCATTTTTGGGCTGTGGCAGATACTTTTGCACGTTAGAAGACACACGTTGGTTTTGGCTGGCAGATTTCAACACCTGAAATATGCTGAAATTTCTACTGAGATCACACACTTCCTTTAGCATATGCTTGTAGAATGTATTTTCCAGAATAATGTCCTCAAATGAAACTGGCAGTGCAGCCAAACCTCTTACAGATGATGATATGCTGTATTTATTATGGTGTGTTAAACCTCTTTAAACCCTATCCTTCCATTTCTGTTCTTGACTAATTTGATGATTGGCATTTAATATTGTATTTTTAACCATTTGGTTGTTTGAATTGTATAATAATTTGAAATAAAATATGAATAAATGAAATGTTTCTCCTGCTCCCCTCTCCATTTGGATATTGATGGAGTAACTCAATGAATTCAACAATGTGAAACTTTATGCATTCTTAACACTGTCAGATTTATTTTTGGTATCTTGGTTTCCTCAAGTAATTGTGCAGATGAAATGTTTGGGATCAATTAATTGTTCTTAAAAAAGATATTGTTATTTAGTCTTTGAATTAAAACATATATAAAGAATTGAAACAGAAGTTTTCCACATTTCCTGTCTGTGTCTTTCTGAAGGCAGTGTGCAAATAAACTTTTCTTGCTGACTTGCTTTTTATAATATTTATCACAGCCTGAGAAGAATTTAATGTGAACTGACTCAGAAACAGTAAAAGCCCGAAGATTTTATATTCGGTGATAGTCATCCATATTGTCTGCTACTTCATGTGTATATCTTGCTACTTAATCCCTGTTTGTTGGAGTGTATGAGGTAATGGGACTACAGTAAACAGAGCCAGATACTGTTTCACTGTCAGAGTGGTTTACTTGTTGGCTGAGTTATTGGTTTTATTATTAAGAATTGTTTCAGTGGGAACCACAGCTAAGGCCTTTATTAAACCCATATGTTATATTGCTCAAGAGACTTCCATCTGTGGTCCACCAAGGTCTAGGTTTGAATGGAAACATTTCTGACGCCCTCAGAAACTAGTCTAGTTGATTTACAGTAGCTTGTTATGTAGGCAAAAGATATAGTCATGCATGGTATCCCTCTGTAAAGAAAAAGGCTCCATTTCAACCTAGAAATGCCTTTAATTTTTTAAGCACTAAAAGTTTTCATGTTTTTTTTTAACTTTGTGATGTGGTTTCAACCATGCAATATTTGAACAAGGCTTATACTGTATGCAGCATTTTAGTTGTAAAATTTAAATAGTAATTTTACTTTGATTTTTTACATTTTCTTAAAAAGTCCCTCTCCACTTTAAAAATGTTTTCTTTCTTGTCTCTACAGTATGATGTTTGATCTTCACTGTGCAGAATGATGTCTGTGCAGAGTTTGACATTATAAGGATGTTTTCACATTAATCTGCTGAAAGTGGAAAGTTTCTGTGAGCTCATTGAACATCAGATTTTAAGTGGCGGGGCCTGCCAGCATGATTTGTGACATCACAAATAGTCTGGTGGTCCATCCTGGTCCAGTATGCAACTTCTACAAGTGTGATGTAGAAACGTGAAGCCACCAGTGCACATCCACTGAAAATGGACTTTACAGTGAAGGAGGAGACATCTTGTATGCAGCAGGGAAACTTTAGAAATGAATAAAATTGCATAGCTTTCATAGCTTCCAGAAATTACAATAAGGTAGAAGGAGTAGCCTATATGCCATTTTAAGGATTTTAATGTGGAAATAATACTTTTTTTTGCAGAAAAAAACCCAAACAAAACATATCAGACACATATTACTGTTCAAAGCAGACTATTTGCATACATGTCTTAATAAATGTGTGGAGGAGATCTTTAGGAAATCCTCCATTACTGATTTAATTTAACATATATTCATTTATTTTCCTAATTTATTGGGACACATTCATCAACATTTCTGCAAATGTGCCAGTAGCGAGCAGGCTAATTTTCACTATTTTGAACTGAAATCTTGGATTTGTTATTTATACAGATATATGAGGGTTTGAGCTTTTTTAGACTGTGTAACAAGGTCCTGCACCTACACTTAAAATCCTCCTCACGGAACAACTGGCGAGGACGCGCGCGCACACACACACACACACACACACACACACACACACACACACACACACACACACACCAGTGCAAACTGGCTTTTCTTTTTCTTTTTTTTAATAGTAAGCGTCACTGTGCGCGCGCCTATGCAACAACTGGATAACAATATTTGTATGGCAGGATTAAGTGGCGCACATTGAAGCCATGTAACATCTGGGAGGGGCGTCATTGCCGTGACAGCGTTGAGTCAGTTGGCTGTTTAAAACCGAGGGTCTTCATCCGGCGCAGAAGGGAAACCTTTCTTCTGTCTGAGAGCAGGTCTGCTGAGATGCGCAGGGCTCCGACACAGCGGAGGTCGCGAGGCTGCTGGTGAATTACAATTGGGATACGAAGCCACCGCGAGCGAGGGGCTTTCTCTTTCTCTGCTCGTGTTTAACGAATTACCGCTCGTTTAATTCACTGAAGCTTTCTCCTGGGGAGGGTTCCGTCCTGTGGTCTCACGCAGGAATGATTTTCCTCGGCTTGGTTTTGCTACAGAGGACCACGGAGACCTCCGAAGGCATCGGTCATGCTCTCTGGTAAGAGGGGATTCTGCTCCAAGATGTCCTTCTCATCCTGACTGGGCGTATTAATGAATAGCCGTCAACACAACCTATATTCTCTGTAAGAAAAAATAGCTTGGCCTACATAGGAGACGACAAGACGTTATTTGCTGTTTTATTCATTATTTTGGACGCGCATTTACCTTCACGCAAAAACCAGGTTTGTCATCGTGTCAGTGTGTGACACACCTGCGACGTGTTATTGCTTCCATTAATTAGTCCTGTCCGTGTGTTTCATTGTCAGCCGGTGCCGCTGCCGTCTGCAACCACTATGCAGATGCGGGACGGCTCAGAAAGCCGCTTAATGTGGGAACACATGCTTTATGCCCTCCACGCTGAGCAGAACAACACGCCTGTAAATTAAACGCAAGGACCGCAGGAAATGAAATCCAATGTCTCTTTCATCTGTGCGTGTGTTGTATCCCAGCGCCTGTACACAGAGGAACATATTGTCTGTGTGGCACATTCATTAAAAGGCAGGAAATGCCAGGGTTTGCAACAGCATCTGAGTGAATTCAAACATGCAGCTGTAAAGGAGTAAAAATCTGTGTCATGCTTCTTGGGAATACACAACTTCTCCCTGTTAATTGTTATGGAGCAAAACAGGCAGCAGCACGCTGCTACTGTCTGCTGGGCCGTATTGATTTCAGCGTTCTCATATGAATATATTGCTTGTTCTCATGCAGCAGCTTAAGCCCTATTATTAACAGATTCCTGAACAAGGATGTCTGTCTGGATCTGAAAAAACTCATCCAAATGTGTTGTGTGGGCCAGTCAGTGCCTTCGGGGTGATTCACTGCTGGTCCAGCTTTTGGTGTGTCTGGGAAACACCTCTCTGTTTTCAGAAGAGGATTCTCCACTTTGCTGCCAAGCATTTTCAAAAGTGCTGATCGTTCTTATTTTTGGGCTTCATGTATTTGTAGGGGCTTTGAATTCGTGGACCATTAGGCCACTTGCAAAGAGGTTCTGTTTAAGGTCTTTTATTGCAGGGGGAAGATCATTCATGCTCAGTTTCATCTTGTTCAGAGGGATTTTGACACCAGTTGGTGTTTGTTTTCACCACTCTCAGTTTGCTGTTATCTTCAAATTGGTAGCGTGGCACTCTGCTTTTCTATAAAGCGCTCCCTGTGGTTTTCATGCTACTTTGAGTGTTACAATTCAATCAAACACCATGGAATTGGACCTTGACCCAGATTGGTGCAAACACAATGGTATTCTTTGCCATGCTGTTACATCAAGGTGACACTGCCCCTTTTATGATGCCCCTAAGACATGGACTGACATGATTTTAACATCTGGTTCACTAGTAGTGGACTGACAAACATGCAGGTTTAGTGGGGGTGTGTGAAAAGTCACACACTCACACCCTGATCTGGATTCAGGACCTTTCAGCAAACCCTTTTACCTGCACATTTGCATGGATTTAAAATGAAAATATGCTTTTGGCTTTATCCAAAGTGTCTTGGTGCGTAGTGTGTGAGCTCAGGGAATCAAATCCCAGACCTTATCAAGTGTTGAAAATATACCAGAGCGGTAGTGTCACAGATAACACGGGGAATTCACCCACATTTCTTCAGTCATTCAAGAACACAACAGCACAAAAGAATCAGATCAGGCTGTTATGCATGTGTAGTAATGATGATTGTAAGTATATGGCTGTGGCTGCACATCATAAGCAGCCCTGACCTCCCTCCATAACTAAACAAGGTGGATTACAGTCACAGAAAAAAAACATAGAAAACAATCGGGAATACATACTGTACAGAAATCCCTTCAGGTGTTACAGGGCTAAGGGAAAATGCATAGGAATAATCCCCTTGGAAGTTGGAGCAACATTCCTTTCTTTATTACACCCCCCACCTCAGCTTAGCAGAATCCAGGTGGATAGTAATCACCAAGATGGCTTTGTTTCACCCGCCGTAGTTGTGTCAAACGTGCAAAGGTGAGCGTCAAGGCCAGGGAGGAGAAATGGTGAGCCACACGATTGGTCAGTCCGAGCTAAGCTGCTCTGCTGTGGGCCGATAAGCATGTTATAAATCAGTATTTCATGGATATAGAGAGCGCAAGAAGAGATCATATTAGTGTGGGGGGTAGGGAGTTAGGGTCACCTGACCTTCCATAAGCCCTCCACAGTTCTTTGGTTGGGGTTGGTCAGGTGGAGGTACTGTAGTTCAGTAAATCCTCTGCACTGGATCAGCTGTATGCCTGTCCCTGACTGATCTTTTTATACAGAGACCCCCTCCCCCCCATTCTTTCTTGAGGTTAGAAACATTTGGATGTTGACATTTTCTCTTCCTCATCCCCATCATTACTACTCACCAACGGGCTTATAACGTCTCTGGAGTTTGAGTTTGAATGACAGGGAGAGCGCGCAGATAAAGGTCCCATTACTGGTCTCTTGCAAATGAACAAAGCAAGGTTCAGAGGTCGGAAGCATTGAAGGCATCGTGAGAGAGCCTGCAATGTTTCTTGTGGATATCTGGAAGCTGCAAAACTATTGGCCTAGTTTTGACTCCTCAGAAACCGTTTCCAGACCTTCTCTGGCAGGAGCTGTATAGTTGTAACCCTGCTCTGGTTACCATGTGTAAGTTCACAACAGTAGCAGCTGTGTCAACACCAACAGTCAACATGAGGGCTGCCAGCCTCACCTGTCTGTGGAGGGCTGGAGGTGATATTTCAGCTGCTCTTTCACATCTCAGCTGCTCCATATTGCCTGTTGAAAGAGACTAACAAACATATTGTGCCTCCATTGCCACTTGCGATCGATATGAGGTTGTTGCATAAGAATCTACTGTTACATATTAAGACGTGCTGTACTGTAAGTCATGAATATATGTGTTATATAAACGCTGTTGACAACAGTAGCCTGTTCCTGGGACTCTTGGGCCAGATAAAAGCTGACAGAAGCGAGAGTGAATCTCTTCAAGAGCTGGGAGGCATCGTGTTTATCAAGGGATGAGAAAACTGGATATTAAACTGTTGCCTGTAGTAATTTAGCTCTGCTGTGAATGTTGCGATGTAATATGTATGACTTCTAAGCCTGAGAGGGAGCAGCGCGGTTCCTTGTGCGGACACGGTAGGATTGGACCTACCTTACAGGCTTCACTGTTTTAGCCCTTCAGACTTGAATATTAAACTCCTGGCTGATTTGCATTCGTGTGATGCGCGCTGCACAGGGGCAACTCACTCTCATCGTGCAGCTCATGTTTTAATCAACATGGCTCCCACAGTGCTATCTGTACCACCATCTAGATCCCGTCCCCCCCCCTTACACATGCTAGGTCAACATGTGTTTGATGATCGTGTTGTGTTCATATCTCTCCTACTCATTTCTCCTCTGATCCTTCCTTTGATGCCGCTCTCTGGGACTCTGTTGATCTGATTCTTCATTGTCCCGCCATCTCTCCCGCAGGCTTCACTCTGGAATGTAATGCAGTCTTGTGTTGTTGTACCTGTACCTCTACACACATCTGTACGCCAGATGTTTATGCAGTTAGCGCTTGACTTGAACCAGCAAGACCACTGATCCTCTCAGGTGTGTTATTTGTTAGACTCAGTAGCGTTTAGAAGGCGACCTGTTGCAGTTGATTGATTCGTTCTTGTCTTAAAGAGCCTATAACCCTGTAGCGCCTTGATGTGTGTTTCTGAGGGGGGGTTATATTTAGTATGGTGGTATATTAAGTACTCACTGCTGTGGTGTTTTTGCTCTGGACTGTGTTGCAGTGATCTTATGTCAGAAATAACCATTAACTGCAAGCTTACTACTTAATTCTTCTTGTTTATTTCAAAGAAATAGCAACAGCTGTTGTTGGAAATCTTGTCTACAGAAAGACCCATCAGTGTGCTGCAAGAAGCAAATGTAAAAGACTGGATACACTGTAGGTAACAATACAGTAAGACTCAACTGTAACCTGGTGTGCAACCTTTGCCGAGCAACACACAATTATGGGATAGTGGTAAATGCTAAAATATAGTGTGCAACCCACATTGGCTGTTTTGTGCAGCGTCATGTTATTTCACATACGTCAATTGATGCCAGGAGCACAGTGTAGACACATACAGTAGCCGGGGTGTGACTTGAGCCAGCAAACTGACTGTAATGTCAGTTACACTGCAATATTTACTTGCCAACATTGGCTACAACAGTCACAGCCACCATTAGCTACTGGTCGTACTAGACCAAGGAAGGCTGTAGCAGTGTGTTGAACAGAGCAAAGGTTGTTTGACTGATACCTCTAACTTTTAATTTCTAAGAGGAAAAAGTGCTTTTTCTTTCACTGAAGTCACTGAAGCACTGGTGTAAAAGGGTTGTTAGTTTTATGAAGAGATAAAGGACACTTTTTAGCGGGTGAAAAGGATAGCACCAAGTCTCCAAGCAAATGTTTTGGTTGCTGGACAAAGCCATTCTTAAGAGGCATGGCAGCCTTTTGGCACCAGTGTTCAGCTGCCCAGCGACCATCCAGAGGAATAGCAAATGTCTCTGTCTGTCTTCTCTTCACTGCTTCTCTCAGTTGGTTTTACTGCTCAGCCTGGCTGTTCAACACAGAACCGACATGACACTGCCTTGTACATTCCCAGGTGGAAGTTCTCCACAGTACATTAGATTAACTTAAAATCTGATTATCACAGACTCAGTTTTGTGTAACAGGGTTCATGTGATGAGCTTTTGTGTGAGCGGCGGTCGTAACTCTGCCACTTGTTTGTGTGAAAGGCTCCTACTTGTCTGTCAATGGGAGGTCAAGCATGCTGGGGGTTTTCACACGTACAGGAGCAAACAGCAGTTACTGGTTCAGTTCCAGCGCAGGAGCAAACTCGGTACAAGTATTTCAAGTATGTCCTCACACAAAGTGAGCCTCAATCTTTACGTTGTTTGAGTGAGGAAAATAGAACCCCATGTCTTACTGACCCCCAAAAAAGCAGAAAAGCTGGTCAGTTGTGTGCAGAGCTCTGAGACAGCTGCTCAGTAACTGATAGATAAATGTTTCCTTTTGAAGGATGTGATGCTGGCAGAAGCAGTCTTTGGACGGGTAATTTTGATTCAGCCCTTGAGGCCTTCCATCTAGATTTGTGGGTTGAATGGAGTCGTTTTATGATTTACTCGTCTGGCAAGATGCTTGTTTATGGCAGCGATTTGTGAGCGGCGTTGAATGAGAGGCTTTTGGCAGAAAGCGCTATCGCTATTTTTGGATGTCAAGTCTCTATTGGGTATTAGGGAAGAGGCTTTGTTTGTAATGAACCTCCATTATGTGGGGAGAAGTGCACATGAGAGGTTGCTCACTTGCTACAGTTGAGTGAAAGCAGCATTTCTTGACTTATGTTGCTTTTCTTGTTTTTTTTTTTCAATATTTAGGCAACAGATTTATTTTTTTCTTTCTCAACAGAACTATCTCAGATGATCGGATATGTAGAAGCTATAAGATATAGTCAACGCAATTCCACGCAAAGTGAATTTCATGTAAACCTTTTTGACTGCAGCAAAGAGGAAACTCCAGTGAACATTGCTTTCGTGTTATTTATTCCGTCACTTTGCTCCTGGCTCTATTCCTCTGGCTCCCTCTCTTTTCTACCAGTAGCTATTGAGTTTCTGAGACATAAAACACACAGGGATTAGGGTTTCTCCCTCTCTGTTTCTGTCCATACATTATTAATGTTACTTTTCCCGTCTCGTTCTTCTTTCTCTTTGCAAATTAATTAGTTGCTAATTGTATCTGAGAGCTAATTTTAGTGAGTATTACTCACTTTCCAAATGCCTTAAGGTGGTTAAGTTACGATCAGACTTTTATCGAGCTTTTGATATTTTCTAAATGTATAAATCTGGCTAAATGCACTTTTAAAATATGGCTGTATAAATGGTCACATCTGGGATTATAGTGCTTTTAGTAAGGCTGTTGCTATCTTGGTGGTAGATTATTTTTACTGCATACAGTATGGCAGATTGACCTTCACCTTAATGAGTTTCTGAGGATTTATGTATATTTTACAGTCATAAAAATATTGTTCCACTATTCTCTTCTTTTTAAGATGTATTAGTAATATTTTTAACCGTTTTTCAAGGGTTCAGCTTTAGACACCTGAACAGAGGTGCAGTGGCTCCCCCTGATGGTACCTGGTGTAATCTGATCTAGGAGACACCCATGCTTATCTACTGCTGACTTGCCTGAAATGCAACCATTGCTTCTACACCTCAAGAAAACCCATGGCTGATACTGCAAGGTTAGAGAGAGCAAAACATCTAAGCCCAAATATATTGTGTTGCTGCATCTCAGCAGCAGTTAAATCTCAGTTTCTTTTTCATCAGGTGAGGGCGTGGCTGGGAGCGTGAGTTGCAAAGTCCCCAGAATTACATCACATGGAGGTCAAAGGACGTCTGATCACATCCATGGGTTTGGGGGCTCCTGGTGAGTAATAATGACTTCTCACAGTGTGAAGACACACACTTTCATGTCTGGACAAGCCTGAAATGGCCTGGCAAATCTATCAGCTTGTGTTTTTTTTCCTGACAGTTCAACAGAAGGAGAAAAAAAAGTGTTTTTCTCAAGGGAACAGCCAGCTGAAAAAACAGCTGTATGTTTGAAGGCCTTTTGTTCACGTACTGTCACCACAGCTGTCAGATAATCTTATCAGGGCACTAAGTAACTGCAAGCAGACATCATATTGTTAGACACAGACACCTTGAAAAGTAACCATGGTTTGAATCCTCGCGTCCTTCCACCTTTTTATTTCAATGCTTTGGCCTAAAATGTCCAGTCTTCTGTTGATAAAGGAAAATTAATTTCTCAATATTTTTCTTATGGTAAACATATCCCATAAAAATACAAAAAAGGTTCCAGTATATCCCTACCCTGTGGCTGTGAGCCTCAAGCCAACTGGTTCCTACTGCAGAAAATGGGTCACAAATATATAAACTTGTGTTTTTTGGGGAAATATTTTTTAGCTGTGGATGAATCCACAGTTTGTGCTCTATTGAGTATTCAAGCAACAGGTCTGTGTATGTGGGACTTTCCATGTACAAGGTAATGAAGGAACATAACACCAAGTGCAACATTGTGGCTTATTGACATGTTTTTGCACAGGAATAAGATACACCAGGCTTTAGATGCACAGACAATACTTGGTTTTGGGTCTTTTTGTGGGATTAGTTGACAATAAAAATGCTAGAATATTGCCAGCCTTTAACTTTAATTCAGTGTTTCTGAGGATGCATTACATGTGCTGTGCTATGTAGATGTTCAAGGCTGCCAGGACAGCAAGCTGCAGGCTGAGAGGATTGCAGCGCTGCAAGAGAGAAAGCAGGCCCTGGAGGCTCTGCTCCACACCAGAGTGGGAGAGCTCAAACAAGTCTGTCTGCAGGAAGCAGTGAGTAGCTCTCACTTCACTTTTAGAACAGGTGGCTCAGGGTACAACATTTTCACTCCATGCCCATAAAGTGTTTGTTGTGTTAATTGTTCCTACTGTGTTTTTACTAAAGATACTACTGTTAGCATATTTTAAACTGATTACATTTTATATGCAGCTTGTAAAGAATCATCAGTGGTATTTGTTTCTTATATAGAATGGGCAGCATATTCATATTTTCTTGACTGCTCCTGAGAACTTGTCAGCCCATCTTAATGAACCCACAGCTGCCTTAGCTTATCATTAACAGCTGTTTAAAACATCCCATGTTTTCAGCTGGATGTATGGTGACTCACTGTTTCTGTGTGCCTAACCCTGACCGTGTTCTACCATTCACAAGTTGTCTGTTTTCAGTGTAGCTAATTTAGAAATTTGAAGCTCTACTTATTTGTCCAGTTATTCTGTTTCTGCTGAATTTTGAATTTGGAGGGTGGTTTTATTGAGACTTAAAGTAATCTCTTAAGTGGTATGGTTTTATGTAACAGTTTGGAGCTCAGTGAGAAGATGGATTTTAGTTACTGGGGGCTAATGAATGTCCTCTGCAGGAGCTGACTGGGAAGTTGCCACGTGCTTTCCCCCTGGAGACAGGAGAGAAACCCCCACTGGTGCAGCGCAGATCTGGCCTGGCGCCCAACACCAAGGCGGAGGTAAGTCAACACCTTGAATATCAATTGTGTTTACGCAGCAGCTGTACCTCTATGTGTACTTGTGGTCTAACAAGCCTGTTCCCGGTTGCAGGATGAGGCTGCCCAAAGAAAGCAGATGAAAGCCATCTTCACTGGTACTCTGTACAGACACTCTGAATCAGATCGAAATGTCCCAAATAGCAAGAGGACAGTTCATCGGGGGTGTCACACAGGTATTACTACAAAGCATCTAAAACCTCACCTATGCTTATGCTTTATGCTTAAAACACACTTTTTAAAATCCTTTTTATATCAAATTCCATGCTGCAACATGACCTGTGAATGGTTTGTTGTCTTTCAGAGGACACTGTCATGTCAGAGAGTACAAGCTCCATGTCAGATTCAACATCCCATGACAATGGTGAGTCAACCGAATACAAACAATGACTTTCTACAGCTATCTCTGTCTCTGGTGGATATACTGCCTATCCATATTCATAAAGAGCTTAAGTGACGCAGTTGTAGGCAGGCAGGCAGGCAGCAGAATTAGCCCAGTGTATTTGCATCACATTCAAAATACATCGCTCACACTTAGTGGGTGGGAGACTCATTTGCACTTCTCGTGTTAAGACACCAAATAAGAATATGTAGTCACATCTCAGTTGTAAACCAAAAATAGCACACTTGTGGAATGAAAGTGATCAGTTGTTTGTCAGTGGAATTCATTAAAAGATTGGTTTTTCTGTTTTTCTTCTTCCAAAAGAGTCTTCTCCCAGTGTGGCCGCTGACCAGCGCTCTCTGTCTCAGCCGCGACTCACTGTGGGCAGCCCTGACCACAGAATCAGCAGGAAGCTGTCTCCAGTCGAGATTTACTACGAGATGAGGACACGGCGCAACTCAGTCACAAGCTCTGTTAGGTACTTCTCTCAAAGTGACCTTATATGGAAGCTGTGCAGTCTGTGTGATGTATCTGAGAGTGAACATTATGTGTGTATGTGTTTGCATGTAGATTCTTTTCATGTATGGGTGATAAATGTTAAATACATCCATGTCTTTTTGTGTTTCTTCCCCCAGCCCAACTCACTCTTTACCAAGAAGTGCATCTAACGTTGAGGGTAGAAGTGTTCCAGCGACTCCTCTCTTGGCCCGAACTGCTCCAATCAGTGTTCACGTCAGGTAATCTGTGATACAGTGATGCCTCTCTCTGATGCAACATAGCTACAGCTCGCTCACACTGTGAAAACTGTGTGTTTGGAAATGGCTTAATGATTTAGTTGAATGCAGACACAGAGTCAGGGTTGTAACAACGATTAGTGTCATATTTAGCTACCAGCAAGGGCTTGAGCTCAACGTTTGGTCTTTAAGCATAAAAACTGTTCCCCGTCTTAAGTGATTTTCTGTGAAATGCAGTTACACGGTTTTGATTAAAATTGCTTTCAGTCACTCTTCTTTATCTATAGTTGCTCCGAGTCCTCTCCTTTTGTAAGCTGTTGTTGTGCTTATTTCTGCTTTAGGTCGGATGCGTCGGGTGGTAACGGACTGAAGCAGTGGTCTGGCAGCCTGGATGTGCCCTATATGATTCCACTGGCACAGGAGGGCTCTTCTTCTGACCGCCGAAGCTGCCCTTACAGCTCCCGGGCCAGGCGCAGTAACAGCTCCGAGGCCCTGCTGGATAGGTCCAGCCTCCCTGATGATCCTGCTCCCAGAAACGGGATGCCCCCCCGAGGAGGACCCTACAAGAGCTCAGAGACACTGACTGATGGCAAACTGCGACACATTCATCTGGGCAGCCCTGAGAGACATGTGGATGGCTCTGTGGAGCAGGCCAAAATGCGTCTGTCCATGGGTGGCAGGGGGGCTGGTGGAGGCTACAATGAGCTCTTGATGGACTATATCTGGGGGAAACAGCAGAGGATGCAAGTGCAGCAGCACCTGTACCAGTCCACAGGCAGGATCTGGCAGGACATGTCCTCTCCCCGCTCCTCCACTGCGGCTGTGCCTCCCCATGCCAACGGCTTTTCCCATTCCCAGGTGCACCTCCCCAGTGCTGCGCCTCCTTTCAGCCCCATGGTCCTCAGAGGATCTGAAGCTGAGCTGCGCAGGGTCAAAGTCACCAGAACCAAATCTTGTGGACCCTTTATTCCTTTGCAGCAACATCCCCAGGATGCCATCCTGCTGTCAGCTTACGAGTCTCCTCTTCCGGCCTCTGGCACCACCACATCCTCCATCCCAAACCTGCACCCCTACCAAACCGAGTTATCTGGCCCCTCCTTCAGCCGCAAACCCCCACAGTTCTCTCTCCCAACCCCAGAAGACTCAACGCGCAGCTTGCATAAAGCCCTGGCTCTGGAAGGACTGAGGGACTGGTACCTGAGGAATGCCCTTGGCTATCCTCCTGCTGCCCCAAAGGGCCACGAGGCCGGGATCTCTCGCCTCTCACACCCCCACCCGCTGGTGCACCAGGCCCAGTCAGTTCAAGGTGAACCAGCCAACCTCCACAGATCTCAGATACCCCAGTCAGCCAGCTTCCATGGTCACCCGCTGCATGGAAGGTCAGTATTTCTGTTTTCTTTTATGTTATTGCTTGGACTCTTTTACACCTGTGTGTCTATTAGTGTCAACAGAAAATAACATTTTCTTTCATTATTACATTGTTTTGTGTTTGACAATCACATTGCACTCAAAGCAGAAGAAATTTTTTATTATCACTTTAAGAGACGTGGATTCAAGGGGCATTTTTTAGTTTTAGGAGCTATGTAAGAATAAATTTAACTAAACGACAAATGCATGTTTTCAAATACAATCACTCAAGACAGCTGAGTGAATCTCAGTGCTAAATACTTAGATTTAGCACTGAGATTCGCTCAGCTGTCTTTCTCACTGGAAGTTGGCAGCAAGTCTTTCAGCACAGGATGGTGCTATTACTCTAGCTCTATTCCCAGTCCATCTATCATCCTGTGACTTGTTGTGGTTGTTTTATTTTGGTTTGTGTTTGTATTTTGTGAGGTCAGCATTATCTGCTGCTGTCTGCTTATGCCAGGGTCCAGGATGTCTCCTGATCAAAAAAACACTCGCGTTTTCTCACTCACAGGCTTCCTATTACCTAAAATGACCCACGAGAGACAGCAGTCACATCTACACGTTACCATCCAAGGCTCTCTAAGCTCCTTTATATTCCCACCATGATCCATACTTTTTATTTCAAGATGTATTCTCAGTGTGGTTTCTCCCCCTCCACATCCTGCATCTTGTTTGTGAAGCACTGTATTGATTTGTCTTGCCTCCCCAACAGGTCGATGGAGTTCTCTCTATATCAGGAGACTCCTCATCCACAGATGCAAGAAGTGACCCCAAAGGAACCCAGTGCAGACCCAGGCACCCTAGTCTGAAGCAGCAGAACACACACACGTATACACACACACACACACACACACACACACACACACACACACACACACACACACGCACATGTTACATTATATCAGCAAAAACACTGTAGCCTCACACACACATTCCCTCAGACTCACACAGGCGCACACGTACACAGACAAGTTGATACAATGTGACCTCAACAACAAAGCAAAACATGGCAACCTCAGCAGAAAGAGACTGGAATAAATGACAAACTGTAGCTGTACAGTGTGAAAAAGCCTTGGCTAGTTCCCCGTGTTATAACTGATCCCGCCAGTATATGAACTTCAAACTCAGTGTTCTCGTGTGGATGTGCACTGGAGTTAACTAATAACAATATGGTCATGCTGTACTTAATATATCAATATTTCTGGTCCAACACAAGCAGTAAAATCCCTCCCAATAACCCTGAAAAGTCTCCCAAGATATACTTTTTTACAGAATATATACAACTCTAAATCACTATTTTGTATCTTCTGAGATATAAAGAACAGTTATATTAAAGAGGTAATTTATTTCTCATTAGTTATGTGATATACAAAGATGTTATATGAGCTCACGTCCTTTGAAAAGTATTAATACATGCCGGTGAATGTGTGTTTGTAAACTATATAAAACGCAAAAACATGCTTCAGTCTTCATCTGCTGTTAATTTCACAGCCATTTGTATTTTTCATCTTTAACAAACGAACTTGCCATGAACTGTAGCATAGTGGTGTAGCGGACGGGAGTGCCTAAAGTTTTAATATCAAAACTAAACCTTGGTTAGAAACCTTTAAAGTGCTATCTAATAATCTGAAATGCTAGCATTAAGCCTTTGTGAGCTTGGTGTAATCAAAAACTGAAAGCAGTTCATGATGTCACTAAATTAGGTTATTTGGAATGATGTCATATATATTGTGATTTTTTTTTTTTTTCCTTTTTTTATCAAGATTCAGCTCGGTGCTGGCTGATAAATGTAGCTTTCTCTTTGCTGACGTTGACAGAATAATTAGACTGATTCTAGGACAAATCTGAGGGCTGTTGAGACCTACTGTAGGGTAGTAGCACATGACTGTATGACAAAAATATACTGTGCAGGATTTGAGTGTCATATGGAGCACTTTATGAACATCTTAAGCCTTAATTCCCTATAAAATTGTCTCGAAGAGAGATGACAGGCAGGCAGGTTTGACAGGTTTTCTAATTGGGGGAAGAGTTAAGGAAAAGTGAGTTTCGTCAACCTCTACTGAAGGTCTTTCTGAGTGTTAGTCTGTATATAGTGTGGACTGTACTGGTGAGTTTCAAACTAATATTTTATTCCCGTACTAACAATGTAATTTTTAAACTAACGACATACTAAGTATTTAATCAGAATAATCTCCCCCACTCATTCCGCCCCCAAGTGAGCACTATTTAATTGGTTGTAAAAAGTGAGGTTGGTGGTGTGAACAGAATAGGGCTGCTGCAGTTTTGAATGATGATGGTGTGAGCAGGTCTCATACCAGTAAATTTGTTAATGAGATTCATGCTGGCTGATTTTTGTATTTGTAATGATTTCAACTCATTTCATGTGCTTGCTTATGTGTTGTTTAAAAAAAAAACTTTTTCTTTAAACTGGACTAGTTATGTGTCATAATATATTTCCAAGTTTGTCTCAACAGCATTCTGCAATGTAAACTTCAGAAAAAATTACAATATTACATGACATCCTCAAGGAAGCTGAAAGTATTTGTCTTAGTGTTAAACAGAAGTTAACATAATTTTTTTTTTCCATCTCTGGACTCATTTGAATGTAATTCTTTACGTTTGTCATAAGTGATATTGTTTTCTACTCTGTTAGCGAACTGTAGCACACCGAATGTTACCTGGTTTCTTCTGCTGTCTGATGTGTTCACATCCTCTCAGTATCCAGCTTCATACAGCTTCTTCCAGCTGGTTTAAACCTGAAATCAAAGACCAAACTGCTGTGCACTGGGGGTCGTAAATGTATTTTTCATATAATGTACTCTGTAAGTTGAAGGTAAATTATATAAATTTAGCTCTGAAGAAAATTTATTCAAACTATATTATATTTATGAACCTATAACATTTTGTAGCTATCTACTGTAGCTCTTTCTCATCAGTGCGGGAATTGGTAATGTGTGTTCAAAAATTTCATTCAGCAGTGTGACGTGTTAATATTTGATTCTTCTTTTTTTTTTTTTTTTTTTTTTTTTAGATATTTAAGTGCAGCTGTTTTCTCTATTCCTCTCTTTATAACCAGGCCTATGAAATAAGACTTATAGGCCCGCCCTATACTGTATGTATGAGATTGTGCATTCATTCTACTAAATAAAGTGTCATGTTGAAATCAACACAATGTGTCAGACTTGTAAGACATACAGTAACAGTGGCTGTAGTGAAGTTTTGCTGAAGAAAAAAAGTTGTTTCTTTGTTTGTGTTTCTTTATTTTTTTTAGTCCATTGTTATTTTCGTAAATAAAAAAATGTAAATGTTAAAGGAGAGGTTCACTATTTGTCAAGTCTGTCTTAAAACAAGTCAGGTCCCCCTTTAAACACTGAAACAGGTTTTGTTTGTCGAAACCATTCTTCATGTTTTCTGTACATGTCTTTCTAATGTAAGAGATAGGAGACAAAATCCACAGTTCTCTGTCTCCCACCGGCCTATTGAAAAAGGGTGGACTAATCTTTTAAAGGCCCTGCACACCCTCAGCTGTTTTCAGTTATCTGGCTACTACCTTAATTCACCAAGAGCGATCAGTACTGTTTATCTGTTTATATGGTTGGCATTGTGTTGCACCTTATTGATATTTTGTATGTGCACTCTACATTATAATGCAAAATGTCCCTCTGGAGACATAAAGTTCTATCATATCTTATTATATCTTATCTAAGCAGACATTTTGAATGGCAAAGTAGCGCAAGCATTATTAATAATGTTAATGATGGCTGTGTTCGGCAGGGCCCTGAAACCAGTGGGTGGAGTGTAGCATTTATTGATATTAATCAAACCTGTGGTTTTCCTGCAGTCAAAATATCAGCTGCAGTGTCCCTGGTTTGAGTCCAGCCAGGGACCTTTTGCATGTCTCTACTGTAATAAATGCATAGAAATAGAAATATTTTTTTGGGGGGGAGGAATTACGTAATTTCACCAAACTTTATGCACTAGTGAAAATGATAAAGGTTGTCGCATAACAAGAGGTGCAACAATCTAACACTGTGAGGGCACTCTGCCATACAGTGTTGAGAAGTAATCAGCAAAAGGATCAAAGTTGTGAAGTGTCTTTCTATAGTCTCACCTCAATGAAAAAGTCTTGTTATAATCTCAGAGGTACTTGTTTAAAAAGTGTTTATATTGTAACCATTAGGCCTATATTTCTACACTGAGGAAGTTATATTGACCTTCTGTGTTATGGTATTTTTTAAGCTTCCTGTATTACCACAATTCTTACATAGTGACCTGTAGTACACATGAGGATGAAATTATTAGCCCCCCTATCAAAATTTCATTTTTTAGTAAGTATTTCCCAAGTGCTATTAAACAGAGCAAAGGATTTTTAACACAGCTTTCTCAAACATCCTAGTTTTATTTTGGATGCTTACATTATTTTACTTTGCACACAGAAACAAAATTATTTCACAAAAAACAAAAACTACCAGGGTCAAAATGATTAGCCCCCTTAAGAACTGACCTTTTTATTGAGCCATAGCACAAACCACTGTTGCGCAATAATGTGCTTTAACTTTGTAAGGCTCAAAGCTTGTAAAATCAATTTAAAACTGAGGGTTACCTCCCAATTTACACACAGTATTGACTGGCCTGCACAAAGCCCTGACTTGAATCCCACTGAAAATCTGTGGGGTGAACTGAAGACCAAGGTCCATGCCAAAAGGCCATCAAATCTGGAGGAGCTTGAGAGATATGCCAAAGAAGAATGGGCTGGGATTCCTCAGGAGACGTGTCAGAGACTTTTTGAAAACTACAACAAAGGACTGCAGGCTGTTATCCAGCAAAAAGGTTACACAACTGACTGTCAGCATCAGGGGGGCTAATCATTTTGACCCTGGTAGTTTTTGGTTCTTGTGAAATAATTTCGTTTCTGTGTGCAAATTAAAATAATGTAAGCATCAAAAATAAAACTAAGATGTTTGAAAAAGCTGTGTTAAAAATTCTTTGCTCTGTTTAATAGCACTTTAAAAAAAAAAAAATATAAATTTCATAGGGGGGCTAATAATCTCGTCCTCATGTGTACCTAAAACCTACTGAAACCCATTTCTGCCAATGTGACAGAAAAAAGATTTTGAGATGTCATTATTTTGAGATACTAAGTCAGAATATTGAGAAAGTTTATTATTTTGAGACGCTAAGTCAATATTTTGGGAACGTTTCTCATTATATTGACTTACAGAATCCTTTTTTTCCATTACATTGGCGGAAATGGGCTTCCAAAAAAACACAGTAGATAGATAAAATAATAAATAGATAGATAAAATAGACAGAGAGAATGAGCTCTTTGCCACCTCTGGAAATAGCACTGGTTGCTCCATAGTGATGAATGTGAGAAACACAGCAGCAGTAGCAGCAGCAGCAGCTATTCCTGGACCTGAGTGTTTTTCACACAGAGCAGAGCGAGGCGCAGAGCACGCGGGCTGTGAGACTCTGCTGTGCTCGTGCCGCCTTACAAATATTAAAAGTGGATCTATCACACACACACACAGGGGTAAGTAGGCTCCTCCTCTGGGGTTGTTGAGCGTTTATTAGGAACGAATAAGGCTCGCGGAGTTTTTGTACTACAAAGTGTCATCGTTAAGACCAGCAACATGTACTTATTTAGTCCAGCACTAGAAAAAAAGAGACTTCCTGCAGGAAACCTTCAGAATAAAACTGTGTTTGATTTGATTGTGCTGCGGGGTCGAAAAGCAACAGAGGTCAGTGGATAAATGGCAAGTTCTAAAGCTCACTAATAAACAGGTTAAAGATTTATCCAGTACGTAGTAAATAAAGCACTGACGCAAGGGTGGCTTAACTTGACCCAGTGTACTAAATACATTTAATAAAACTAGATGTATAATCATCAAAAGACTTAACTACCAGACTAGACTAGAGTTTTTTTTTTTTTACAGCAGCCATTTTGACATGAAATAGTTGGCTGAACACAGGTGTTAACAGTGATACTAATGAAGGTTCTGTTCCATTCAGGTCAAACAGAGTCAGAGTGCTGCTATTGTGCATGTTGCTCTCACTGGAAAGGTTCTGCTACACTAAATGGAACAGGGCCTTAATTAACAACATTGACAACACCTGTGTTATAGCCAGCTATTTCATGTCAGAATGGCTGGGGCTAAAAAGGTCTGTTGTTGCAGTTGTGCCAGTTGTGTCTCCATAGGCCGGCCCAGCCAGTAGTTTTGTTTCTGTATTTCCACTAACCCATTTTAAATATCCAACAGCAGGAGAAAAAATGGGACATGTAGCAACATGTGCATGTTTGAACAGTTTTTTGCCCGTCAAGCTGAGAATAGTCAAACAAAGTTATGCACACATCAGTTAAGTGCATTTTGGTTATACACTATACACTGTATTAATATATGACTTTTTTATCAAGCAAACCAAGAGACACATTTTAGACTTTTATTGTGAAGTAACAGTAATACCTGGCATTTTTTAATTTAATGTCAGATGAGTTGATCTCTTGTACACATCAGTAGACCTACTTCTTGACATTACAATAACACCATGTGTACTACCACACAAAAATAAGCCTGCTTTAGCACTTACTGAGCTGTCTGTAAAGGCGCCATTTTTCTGATCACTTTACCGTCCTAACAAAATAATTGCTCCGGCCAGATATCCCTTGAAAGAGCATGAATTAATTCGAATTGCCAGCCTTTCATGTTCTGTGGCGCCCACACTGTAGTCGTCCATGCAAAATCAGGAAGAGTTCAGTTGCAGCTGGGCCAGTGTCAGAAGCTATTTACGTTGACATGCCATTCATCCAGCTAAAAATAAACATACACATTCACTGGCCCATTTGAAATGTCATCGCAAACAGCCTCCTACAACCCGTGACTAAAAGCCCAGACAAGCTGCCAGAGACAAATAGATAGTGAACTCGTGTTTCGGAGATCCAAGCATGATCCGTATGAACTCCTTCCATTTTGTTTGAGTATGCACATGCATTTTTCTTGTAGCTTTGTGCTGCTGTCATCTGGGCCCGTCTTCAGCCGTGCTCAAACTCATCAGGCTCCAGATAAAGATGTCATCTTCATACGCTGCTGCTATATCAGCCCTTCTTTCAGCCAGCTCCCCGAATCAGCCTGTCAAACCCAGCCCTCACCCCTCCCCAGACGCAGCAGGGAGTCCTAAACCTTCCCCCCTGCCCAGTAAATCTGCCCTCTGCCCTCCAGCTGCACAGATACCGCCTCATTCTCCAGAGCCTCTGGGATCTTATGATGAGCAACAGGAGAACCCTGCAGACTATGGCATTGGTAGGCAGCACTCCAACACCAAATTCCAACACGCTGGTTGAGATATTTTCTGTGATGCAGGCGGTACGTTGTGTTGCAGGTGGTTACTACCATGTAGAGATTGGAGAGATTTTCGTTGACCGTTACCAAGTGGTTAAAAAGTTGGGATGGGGCCACTTCTCTACTGTATGGCTGTGCTGGGACATAGTGTAAGTACTGGTTTGACATTTTGACTTTTCATATCTAACATAATAACACAATATAGTGATTACATAATATGATGTAAACATAATAGTAGCTAACTGCCATAATTGTTTGCATGCAGGAAGAGGCGTTTTGTGGCTCTGAAGGTGGTGAAGAGTGCTCAGACGTTCACAGAGACGGCACTGGATGAGATCAAACTTCTGAAATGTGTCAGTGTGACCACACTGCTTCTGTTTGAGATGGAATAGTTTTTAGTCAGTTTTTTAAAGTACTCTTGCAATACACAAGTAGCAGACTTGTAATTCATTACTTGTAAAAGTGTCAGGTGAACACAAAGAAGTGTGGTGGTTGTGGAGCAGAAAGGTTCACTAATAAGTGAGACTGATAATGTGGCTGGAAATACAATTTCTGATGTCATTTTGAAATCTCTTATAAGAGACAGGTTTGGGCTGAAACGAAAGGGGGAGAAGATGATCAGAAAGTTTGATAGTTTTATTGGGGATGAGGGGTGAAATAATGCATGATATACACTGTGTGTGTGAGAGACAGAAAGGCAGGGTATAGAGTATTTAGAATTACTAAATGAATATGTGAGTATTGTGATAATATTGTGTTTTGGACTCTCTGGCAGGTCTCAGTCTCTCAGTGTGGCTTAAATTATTCTCATTAAATCAAAATATTTGCCATGTTATTGTATTTTATAGATGTTAGTAAGTCATTTGTGTGTACAATGTGATTGCCTTTATCATTTTTGCACATTTACATTTTTATTGATAGTGTAATATGTTCACTATATGACCATCAGGTAAGGGACATGGACCCTAAAGATCC